GGGATGCTCCCACTTGGTTTTTAGTGCCTTCACTAGAAACTCTTTCTGGCCTTCTGCTTTATTGCATTCACATCTCACACTTCTACTCCATCCTATTCTATCGATCGATTTGTCTCTACTCTCCAAAATCGCGCGCTTTAACCCGATTCTTTCATTGCGTCGCCTGATACGTAGCCGCCCAAGACTTCTTTCCATGCCCGCCTTTGGCTCCGCCCGAATTACCTTCGATTGTCCATAGAGTGTATTTTGTGAGTTTGTTTCTCTTCGGAAACCGAATCTTCATGCGTGAAACTTTGTGTGCTGTTTCCAGTGATCACAACTGACATATGCATGTTGGGAAGAATGGAACATTTTTAGGGAGGGACTCCTTTAAGCGTTGCTCGTGCTCTGTCTGGTAGTACTGCAAAGCAGAGTAAAGAGGGGCCTTTCAGAGGGGTTCGTGGTGATGGTGGTTGAGGGGTTGGGTTTTATCGCTAGAGATCTGGGGAGGAGTGGTTTCTTTTTTGAAAATCTCAGGAAAAAAGCATGATGTGGTCGAAATTGGAACATGTACCGCTTTCTAACACGCGCTTCTCGCTCGCTTGACGGCAGATTCGGTGAAGGTTTCGGAGTGAAGTTGGATTGTGTCCAGGAGCAATTACTATGGTGGGACCAGCCATGGTGGTGGGGTCGAGAGAAGGGGTTGTATGGGAGGATCCTTCTAAGGCTTGTGATGATGGAGTTCGTGTTCAGATTCCGTAAAAAGAGGGGAGGGGGTCGTGAAAAACTTGAGTGGGCACAAGGACGATTCTCCCTGCTCCCCAACTGCATACAAAACGGACAAATGTCAAGTGACGCTACCAGTAATCTATTTTCACGCGCAAATTCCATATCACGCCTACAGAGACACCGTGGGTGAACGCCGCAGCAGACGTATGACACCAGCGGGTAACCCGTCGGCGCATAATGTAGTGATCTATGGTTTATGCTAAGTTTTGTCACGTCAATCGGATTCAACGAGGAACTAAAGAAGAGCAGCAAAGGTCAATGACAGGGATTGTAAATGAAGAACAATATTAGAGAAGCGCTATCGAAAAAAAGTAGAATGCAAAAGAAATTTTTCTTACGAAGCTGCGCCTGTGACGGCGGCATGGAAAGGTCCACTGTTCCGATTCCAGCTTCCGTTTTGGGATGAAGAAATTCGGCAGACTGCGGTAAGCCAGCTACTGAGAATGGAGCCACTGCAAAAGCAATTTCAGTCTATTAAACCCCCAATTAGTGCATCGCTGGAGTTAAAGTGTTCTGTATTAATTTAAAATATCGAAAAATTTCAAAGACCACTTCTTTGCAGTTTAAGCAAGTTGATCGCAAGCCTTCCCAGCCAAAGCCATTCCGCCCATTGTGCCTACTTCAAAAATTTTACAACACACTCCACTCTCCCCCTTTAGAGGTCCGCCTTGTGGTGCTGGGTGCGAACGCCTCGAGTACCCGGCAGGAGGCCCGTCGCGCGACAAGAAGGCAGAGTCAGCGGACGAGTCGCAGCGCGTGATGTGCGATGTAGGACGTACAATGCATTCTATTTAACTTGACGCGAAATCACTACAGTACGCGCTGCGACTCGTCCGCTGACTCTGCCTTCTTGCCGCGCGACGGGCCTCCTGTCGGGTACCCGAACGCCTCATATGCATAACTCGAGCAAAATCACTGGAGCACCAGTATTTTTTGGTTTTCGAGAGCAACTTTTAAAAGCAATCCCAACCACGAGTTTTATTTGTAGAAAAGATGTCAACCCAAATGATCCAATGTTTCAAATATGATCGCCTCTGGTTTGTTTCCTTTTTTGGAATCATACCTCATTTCATAGCCCCTATCTCCCGAACAACTCCACATAACATAACATAGTATAGCCCCAAGGCCACGCATATCTTCTCATTTAACATTGAATAACAGCGCGTTTTGCATTTTTTGCCGAGTGAGATGATTTTGGAAGTTTAGCCGCCGTGGTTCGCTATCGGGTCACGCCGTCCCCTGGGCGGGTGATTTGGAGCTTGAAACTGGAACGAATCAAGAACGAAGTTAGCTGGTTCGTGTGACAAAAACATGACAAAAAGCATACGTGAAATGCGAGAAGACGTGGCGCATTTGTGAAGAAAGGAACACATGTGTGATCCAGAATCGGACCATGCTATTGGTAATATGTAATGAATCGAAAGGAAAATAACATCAAAATGTTATGAAATCATTAGCATGTATATGATGCCAACTCTCTATGCAGGTAAATATAAAAAAATTCGGCGCAATGTGGCTCGGAGGGGGGGGGCAGCCGCCGCGCGCGGCGTTGCGGCAACAGGAAATTCGTGAGCCAGGGGGAATGTAGCCCAATTCAGGGGGGTGGGGGTGAGGGCAGTCACTTAGCATGCGTGAGAAGCTGAAATGTTCCGTGAGAAGCTGGAATGTTCGAGTTACACTACATCGCTGAGCCGCGCGCGGCGACTGCCCCCCCCCCCGAGCCACATTGCGCCCAATTCTTCCTCGTATAACTT